CATCAAAAGAAATGAAATCTTGCCATTTGCAATGACGTGGATGGAACTAGAGGGTATTATGCTGAGCGAAATAAGTCAATCAGAGAAAGACAACTATCATATGATCTCCCTGATATGAGGAAGTGGAGATGTAACATTGGGGGCTTGGAGAGTAGGAAAAGAATAAATGAAAAAAGATGGGATCGGGAGGGAGACAAACCATAAGACACTCTTACTGTCACAAAACAAACTGAGGGTGGCCGGGCAGAGGGGGGTTGGGTTATGGACACTGGGGAGGGTATGTGCTATGGTGAGTGCTGTGAAGTATATAAACCTGGCGATTCACAGACCTGTACCCCTGGGGCTAATAATACATTATATGTTTATAAAAATAAATTAAAAAATTAAAAAAAAACCTGAGGGCATCAGAATGCATGGTTTCAAGGTATATTACAAAGCCGTGATCATCAAGATAGCAACGTATTGGCACAAAAAACAGATGCAGAAATCAGTGGGACAGAATAGGGAACCCAGAAATGGACCCTCAAATCCATGGTCAACTCATATTTGACAAAGCAGGAAAGAATATCCAGCGGAAGAAAGACAGTCTCTTCAATAAATGGTGCTGGAAAAATTGGACAGCCACATGCAGAAGAATGAAACATAAACAAAGATAAGCCCAGAATGGATGATAGACCTAAATGTGAGACAGGAATCCATCAAAATCCTAGAGGAGAGCACAATCAGTAACCTCTTTGACCTTGGCTACAGTAACTTCTTCCCAGACACATCCCTAAGACAAGATAAACAAAAGCAAAAGTGATCTACTGGGACTTCGTAGGAGAACAAGATTCTGCACAGGAAGGGAAACAGTCAACAAAACTAAAAGGTAACCTATGAAATGGGAGAAGATATTTGCAAATGATATAACAGATAAAGGGCTGGTACCCAAGATGTCTAAAGAACTTCTCTAACTCAACCCTCCACAAAAAAATAATCAGGTCAAGAAATGGCAGATGACATGAATAGACTCTTCTCCAAAGAAGACATGCAAATGGTTAACAAACATAAAAAAATGATCCATATTGCCATCAAGAGATGCAAATCAAGACCACAATGAAATACCACCTTACGCCAGTTAGAATGGCCAAAATTAACAAGACAGAAATCAACAAATGTTGGCAAGGATGTGGAGAAAATGGAACCCTCTTACACTGTTGATGGGAATGTAAGCTGCTCCAGCCACTCTGGAAAACAGTATGGAGGTTCCTCAAGATGTTACAAATAGGGCTGTTCTATGACCCAGCAGTTTTACTACTAGGTATTTACCCCAAAGATACAGATGTGGTGAAGAGAAGGGACATATGCACCCCAATGTTCATATCAGCATTGTCCACAATAGCCAAACTGTGGAAGGAGCTGAAATGCCCTTCAACGGATGAATGGATAAAGAAGATGAGGTACATATATCCAATGGAATATTACTCAGCTATGAGAAAGGATGAACACCCATCATTTGCATTGACATGGATGGAATCAGAGGGTATTATGCTGAGTGAAATAAGTCAATCAGAGAAAGACTGTTATCATATGGTTTCACTCCTATGTGGAATATAAGGAATAGTGCAGAGGTCCATAGGGGAAGGGAGGGAAAACTGAATGGAAAGAAATCAGAAAGGGAGACAAACCATGAGAGACTCTGGACTCCAAGAAGGAAATTGAGAGTTGCAGAAGGGAGGGGGCTGTGGTAATGGTGTAACTGGGTAATGGGCATTAAGGATAGAATGTGATCCTGATGAGAACTGGGTGTTAGATGCAACTAATGAATCATCGAGCATTACGTAGAAAACTGATGATGTACTATTTGTTGGCTAATTGAACTTAGTAAAGAAACAATAAATAAAAGATTGTGTGACTGTATTAATATCACACAATTAGACTTTAAGACAGCGTGTACAATCCCAAATGAAAACTTAGAAAGTTAAAAATGGTGAGTTATTAGTAGACATAATAATCATAGATGTGCATGAATCTGACACTGGAGCTTCAAAATACATGAAGCAAAATTTGAAAGAACTGAGGGGAGAAATAGACAAATCTATAGTTAGTCAGTTGGAGATTTTTATCATTCTTCTGAGTAATTGGTAGAACAACTGGATGAAAATTACTAAGGACAAAGATTTGACCTGAATGATTGTTCATGAAATCTATACCCAATATTTATAAAAGTCACATTTTTTTCAAGTGTATATGGAATTTTTTTCAAGACCACCCACATGCCTAGGGCATGAAATAAGAATCAATTTCAAAAGACTGAACTTATAGAGTATGTTCTCTGACATAGTAAGTTAGAAATTAATAACAATATGATGCCTAGAAAAGCCCTAAATATTTAAAAATTAAACACTATAATTCTGAATGACCCATGGAAATGTCAAATAGAGATCAAAAGTGAAAATTGGAAATTATACAACCACTGGGGAAAACTTTTTGGTAGTTTCTTATATTACACATATACTATTCCATAACCCAGTAATTCTAATTCTAAGGTTTTATCTTAGAGAAATGTAAACAATTCTTTATAAAACAAGATGTACAAAAATATTCATAACAGCTTTATTTGTAATAAACCTCAGCTGGAAACAACCCAAATATTCATCAACCTGAGACGGGAGAAAAAATAATTTAGTATATTCATACCATGAATACTGTCCAGCAATTAAAAAGAATGAACTATGGATGTATATAACAAAATAAGAGAATTTGGAAAACGTTATTTAAGCTTTAAAAAGTCAAACACAAAAGAGTATTATTGTATTTTTCTATGCACATGACACTGAACAACAGACAAAACTAATCTATGGTGACAGAAATCAGAATGGTGGTTCCAAATTGGGGAATGAGTAGAAGGGTGACCTTCGCTGATGATAGGTATGCAAATGTTGTCATTTTGGGAAAGAAACTTCCCAAAGCAGCTAGTACCCAATTCCAGACTGTTTCTCCCTTATTTCCAAGGACACTCTCATATTTGCCTTATAAAAAAAGAAGAGTAATGTGGGTGTTGGTCCCACTTTCTAGAGAACAAAAATGATGCATCAAAATAGCCCAAATACATCTATCTTGCTGGTGTGCTTCAGAATGCTTTTTGTCCAAAAATACTTCAAACTTTCCATAGCTCGTTGTTAGTCAACCTATACTTTGTTCACCAGCTGACAATTTATAGCCTAGAGTAAAAAGATGATTTACGTCAATGAGAGTCTTCCTTTTAGGGAGATAAAATAGGGAGTACCAAAAGTACGTGAACATTTAGCAGCACAACAGTTGCTGGAAGAGTGTCAAAAGTGAGTTTCAAAAAGTGTGAGCTCAAGCCATGTATAAGAGAAGCAAAGAAGGATCTGGAAAAATGCACATGGCATGGGCCAACGGGCAAGAGAAGGGAAACCTTAGGGAAGGGAAAGTAAGAGTAATTGGGCTCCAGAACTGTCTTAGGGTTTTTGCCTGCAGAGGATGGTTAGGGGACTTCCAATTTAATGTTCACATCCCATAAATTATTTCTATCATTCTTCCACTATCCTATTCCTTTGGGCATTTTCTTTTAAGTTAAATGAGTGGATTTTTGTTCCTTACTCTTTGTAAGCCTTTAGAATGCTATAGTAGCTATTGTTTTGGGCTTCCAGAAAAGGTTTCCTCCACCCTGACCTTGTAATAAACAGACTCTGATCCCTGGCCACAGGGAAGAAAGGTGGACATATTCAATATGCTTTTGGAAATACAAGGCTAAAACTGGACTGACAGCGGGGGCTGGAAAGAGATCATTATCATACAGATAAAAACAAGGAAGTAATTTTTTTTCTATCTTAACTTATTTTAATTCCAGTTAGTTAATATACAGTGTTATCTTAGTTTTGGTTATACAATATAGTGATTTAGTACGTCCATACATCACCCTGTGTTCATCAACACAATCCCCACCTCCTATTTAACCCTTCCCCCTACCCACCTCCCCTCTGGTAACCATTAGTTTGTTCTCTATAATTAAGAGTCTGTTTTTTTATTTTCTCTCTCGCATTTTTTCCTTTTGTTTGTTTTTTTCTTAAATTCCACATGAGTGAAATCATATGGAATTTGTTTCTCTCTGGCTGACTTATTTCCCTTAGCATATACACTCTAGCTCCATCCATGTCACTGCAAATGGCAAAATTCATTCCTTTATAGCAGAATAATATTCCACTGTATATATATACCACCTCTTTTTTTTATCTACTCATCAGTCAATGGACACATGTATCCCTTTGAATTAGTGTTTTTGTATTCTTTGGATAAATACTCAGTAATGCGATTGCTGGGCAATAAGGTAGTTCTATTTTTTTGAGTTCTTTTTTTGGTGGGCCTCCATACTGTTTCCCACAGTGGCTGTACCAGTTTGCATGTCCATCAATAGTGCAAGAGGGTGCTTCTCATGGTTCCAATAGGGAAAGAAAAAGGAAGCAGGGAGCAAGGGGGTTAGCCAACTCCCCCCCCCCCGCACTGTCACTGTGGCTTCTGCCACTGCTGCTGCCACTGCCTCTGTGCTCCTGTTGTGGGAGTAGTTGGTGGGAGTCCCAGCTGGAGCAAGTAGTGGTGCTGCTGAGGGAGGGTCCACTGAGAGTGGGAAGACAGTAGCAGATATAGATAAACTCAACATGGACAGCATCATCCAAGGATTGCTGGAAGGGACAGGGTCCAAGCCTGGTAAGAATGTCCAGCTACAGGAGAATGAAACCTGAGGACTGTGCTAAAGTCCCAAGAGATCTTTCTCAGTCAGCACATCCTACTAGAACTTGAAGTACAATACAAAATATGTGGTGATATCCATGGGCAATACTATGATTTGCTCCAACTTTTTGAGAATGGTGGTTTCCCACCAGAAAGTAACAACCAATTTCTTGGGGACTACATCGAGAAGGGAAAAGCAGTCCTTGGAGACTGTCTGTCTCTTACAGGCTTATGAAATCAAATATCCTGAGAATTATTTTTTTCTTCTCAGAGGAAACCATGAATGTTCCAGCATCAATAGAATTTATGGATTATGATGAATGTAAAAGAAGATATAACATTAAACTATGGGAAACTTTCACAGACTGCTTTAACTGTTTACTGATAGCAGCCATCGTGGATAAGAAGATATTCTACTGTCATGGAGGTTTATCACCAGATCTTCAATCTATGGAGCAGATTCAGGGAATTATACAATCAACTAATATATCAGATCAAGGTCTTTTTTGTGATCTTTTGTGGTCTGACCCTGATAGAGATGTCTTAGGCTGGGGTGAAAATGACAGAGGAGTACCTTTCACATTTGGTGCAGAAGTGGTTGCAAAATTTTTCCATAAGCGTGATTTGGATCTTATATGTAGAGCCTACCAGGTGGTTGAAGATGAATATGAATTTTTTGCAAAGAGGCACTTGGTCACTCTGTTATCTGCACCCAATCATTGTGGGGAGTTTGACAATGCAGGTGCAATTATGAGTGTGGACAAAACTCTAATGTGTTCTTTTCAGATTTTAAAGCCTGCAGAGAAAAAGAAGCTGAATGCCATGGGACCTGTAATACCTCCAAGGGGTATGATCACAAAGCAAGCAAAGAAATAGATGTCATTTTGACACTGTCTAGTTGGGACTTGTAACATAGAGTATATAACCTTCATTTTGAAAACTGTAATGTGTATTGGTCAGCTTGCTCAAATAGTGTGTTTGTGAGGTCCCTCTTCCATTTTTTGAATTAATGGATGGCAATTTGTTGGTTATAACAGTAAATTAAAGAGTCTCCACTCCCAAGAAATAAAAATGTTTTTTTTTAATTCTGTAGTCCTTTACAAGCAACTTTAATGATGGTGTTAAAGCTGTACACCTCAGAACAGTTTATCCTGTATAAAGGATAAGTATACAATTGATCTTTTTAAAATTCAGTTCAACCCATGGATGACATAAATGCTTGATTTCTTTAGGATATAACGAGAGCCCTAGGTGCTCAATCTGTACATGTTACTGTCATAAAATACATACTGTTGATGTAAACCACTATGAACACTTTTTAAAAATTTTGTTTCAAAAGGGATTTTTTTCTCTCATTGTCTTGTCATGTACAAACTAGTTTTTACAGCTATCAACCTTAGGGTTAACTCAACATTGCCAACATCACTGGTATGATGTATATTTAACTACACTTTCCTCTCCCATATACTCAAAATGACAAAGCCATTATTTTTTTAAAAAATAGTGTAAGAGGGTTCCTTTTTCTCCACATCCTCACCAACATCTGTTGTTTCTTGTAGTGTTGATTTTAGTCATTCTGAAAGGTGTGAGGTGATATCTCAACTGTAGTTTTGATTTGCATTTCCCTGATAACTTGATGATGAGCATCTTTTCCTTTTGTCCCAATTTTTATTTAAATTCCAGTTATTTAACATATAATATAATATTGATTTCAAGAATGAAATTTGTGATTCATCATTTACATACACCACCAAGTGATGAGCATCTTTTCATGTGTTTGTTGACCCTCTGGATGTCTTCTTTGGAAAAATGTCTGTTCATGTCTTCTGCTCATTTCTTTACTGGATTATTTATTTTTGGGGTGTTGAGTTTTATAAGTTCTTTATATATCTTAGATACTAACCCTTTATTGGGTATGTCATTTGCAAATATCTTCTCCCATTCAGTAGGTTGACCTTTAGTTTTGTTTACTGTTTTCTTCACTGTGCAGAAGCTTTATACTTAGATATAGTCTCAGTAGTTTATTTTTGCTTTTGTTTCCCTTTCTGGAGACATATCTAATAAAGAGTTGCTGCAACTGATGTCAAAGAAGTTGCCGCCTGTGTTCTCCTCTAGGATATTGATGGTTTCCTCTCTCACATTTAGGTTTAATCCATTTTGAATTTAATTCATGTTGAATTTATTTTTGTGTATGATGTAGGGAAGTGGTCCAGTTTCATTCTTTTGCATGTGGCTGTCCAGTTTTCCCAGCACCATTTGCTAAAGAAACTGTCTTTTTTCCATTGGATATTCTTTCCTGCTTTGTTGAAGATTAATTGACCATAAAATTGTGGATTTATTTCTAATTATCTATTCTGTTCTACTGATCTATGTGTCTGTGTTTTTGTGCCAGTACCATAGTGTTTTTTTAAAAGATTGTATTTATTTATTTGACAGAAAGAGACAGACAGTGAGAGAGGGAACACAAGCAGGGGGAGTGGGAGAGGGAGAAGCATGCTTCCCACTGAGCAGGGAGCCCAATGCAGAGCTCAATCCCAGGACCCTGAGATCATGATCAGAGCTGAAGTCAGACAATTAACGACTGAGTAACCCAGGAGCCCCAGTACCATACTGTTTTGACTACCACAGCTTTGTAATACAACTTGAAGGTGGAATTGATGCCTCCAACTTTGCTGCTTCATCATCGCTTTGTTTATTCGGGGTCTTTTGTGGTTCCATACAAATCTTAGGATTGTCCTACTTTTCTGAAAAATGCTGGTGGTATTTTGATAGGGATTGAATTAAATGTATAGATTGCTTTGGGTAGTATAGGCATTTAAACAATATTTGTTTTTCCAAAGGGAAGTAATTTTTATAGAGAACTTCTGACATGTTAGGTACTGTGTTTGGCACTATATATTTTAATACCAATTAATTTTGATATATCCAGGAATTATTATCTCTATTGACAGGTGAAGGAACTGAGGCTTAGTTTAAAGTGTCTTAGCCTTGGCCAAACAGTAGGAAGTGGTCAGACAGATCAGTCTACAAAGCACATGCTCCTCCAATCACCCTGGGCAGTCTCCCAGTTTTGGGAAGCCAAGAGGTTTATCTTCTAGGAAGAAACTGATGATGAGATCAAGGCTTGGAATTCTGGGGCACTCTATCTCTTGAGAAGAGGAGCTAGTGACAGAAAAAGAAAAGTCACAGAAGTTTAAGACCCAGCTACCAGGAAAGTTACCATGGAAGATAGTGTCCCTGAGTGCTTTGAAAAGCAAAAGGATGGCCAGTCATCAAATGATTCAAAAACATCAGGAAGAATGAGGAGTGAATTGGATTTGGTAATTAGAAGCTCAAACCTGACCTTGGTGAAAACCGATTTTGTTTGTTCTGAAAGTAGAAGCCAAATTTTAACGAACACACAAGTTCATAAGAATTGAGGGGAGTAGATTTTAAGTTCATGAGAATTGTGGGGAGTAGATTGTAGGTACTGTGAAAGGAAGAGAAGAGCCAATAATGATGGCGAATCTCAGAATTTGGAGTTCCAAGGAGAAGGAGACATGGGAGATTTGCCATGGATAGAGGTGCTTTTTGAAATAGGAATTAAGGAGGTAAGTAAGGCGTCATTACGGGTATGTTTGTGCATGTGTGAGAAATTTGGGCAATTTATATATGTTTGAGAAGAGAGATCACTCTACAAAAGTAAAAATAACAGGATCTCTGTATTGGAAATTCCCGTAAGTGCTTTACGAGCTAATTTGTTATTCCTATTTTACAGATTGGGAACTTTAGGTTCATATATTGATCAAAATCAAACTGCAGAGACCAACTCAAGACTGCGCAGTTCTAAGTCCAGGCTTGGGTTGAAGTCAGCAGTGAGTAACCCTACGTTGCCCTGGGAAGACCGCAGAGGACAGGGCTGGAACTACACTTCCCAGTGTGCCAGGCGGGGCGGGGCGCGGGCGGGGAGGGCGCAGACTCCTTCCCAGAAGCAAAAGCGGAAACAAAAGAGTCTTGCCGGCGTCCCCGCCCGCACACTCGCGCACACTCGCGCTCGGGCGCACACTGAGCAGACTCTGGCGCCCGGAGCGAGCCAGCGAGCAGCGAGCAGCGAGCCGGGGAACCCGGGCTGAACCAGCAGAGCAGCCAGCGAGTCGAGCCCGCGAGACCCTACGGCCCCGCGCCCCGTAGCTGCCGCCAGCCGGCCGGTGTCCGCGCCGCCCTCCCTGACCCATGGCGCTGAAGAGGATTCAGAAAGTGAGTGCCCGGGCCAGGCCTGGGGCGACGGGGCGCGCTTCGGCTCCCTGCCCACACTGACCCCGGCGATGGTCCCGAAAGACGCGCCGGGAGGGCACGGGATGGGAGGGTGCGCGTGGATCAGGGGGCCAGAGATGCCGGTGGGGCCAGCGGGCACTGGACAGGTGAGGTGGGAGCAGGGACAAGTCCCGGATAGCTTGGAAGCCGGGGCCCCGCTGCGCGCTAGCGCCGGAGCTGCGCCGGGAGTCCCTGGGTGGAGATCCTTCTGTGGCTCCAGACCTTCCCAAAATGTGTGCTTTAAGGTCACCGCTGGATTTTGCCCTACACTGGTCTAGTTTTGGCCCCTGTCATGCTGTTTTCTCCACACCCGTTCTTTTCTGTTCTTGCTTCCCCTGGCTCCCTGCGAGGGCAAGGAAGGTGTGGTGGGCCTGCAGGCTGTCTTCTCGATGCTGTGGGTTTGTTCCGTTTCTCCTCTGCGGTTGGCTCCTGCTCACATCCCTGAACGGGCTGGAAAAGCCCATTTGGGGCCCAGACGCCGGGAGAAGCCTCTTGCCTCTTCTATTTTGGTACCTCTTCTGCTGCCACTTCAGGTCACATAGCTGTAGTGAAAACATAGTTGCTGATACACAACAAGATGACCTCCTGGCTGTGATTCATCGTGAGTCAAGCCAAACAGGTTCCCCCCCGCTCCCCCCATGATAAACTTACATGTGAAGTTCGAGACACAACAAAAACTGCCACAATATAAGTTGTTTGATGCTTTGACACATGAGTATAGAATGAAGAAGAAATGTATATATTCATTCAATAAATATTTATCCATCCCAACTCTGTAAGGAATTGCCTTCTCTTGCATAATACTGTATTTATTGCTACTCTTTCAGATGTGAATATCTTACAAAATTGGGGTTGGGCCATTTTTTTTTTTTTTTCTGTTCACTTTTATTTCTTATTGGGTTATGGGTCTGTTCACTGACACAGGTTTTAAGAAGGTTTTATAGTATATGGAGAACGTGGAGAATTTATTTTTAAATGGGGAGTGTTTCAGTAAGTTAAGCCAACAGCATGCCGTGTAAATAATTTTAGAAGAAATTAATGCTACAGAAAAATTTTATTAACTTTTTAAGACATGAAGTGATGGAGATATATACATTGTATTCTCAGTCACAACTGGTGGCATCTTCTGGTACAGAGGACAGCAACTTTCAGGTCCAGCCTTTTTTGTTGTTCAGATGCTGAATGTGTAGGATACCGTTTTTGTGTGTGTGCCATTTGAGGGTCTTCTCTCTATAAAACAGAAAGGTAACTGCATTTATTGATTCATGTTTTCTGACGTGAAGGTAATGCAGTTACACATTCAAAATTACCCTAATTTCGAAGCCCTAACCAGCATCTTTGTCATGACTGGTATGCTTATTAATAATATGTAATATTGGCTTACATTTGAATGAAACAATACACCTGTTCCAAGGAAGTTTTAAATTCCATTTCCTTCTTTCCTACTTGTGAGAATTCTTCACAAGACTTTACATATACAATAGATTTTAAATAATGTAGAATTTGTCCACAGTAAGTAGACAAAGAAAATGGACATTATTTGTAAATACTTTACTGGGCAATTGTCAGTCACCATGCTGAATATTTATAATACGGAATACACCCAAATCATATTTTTTTAGCTATTAGTTACTATTGGTTTATAACTGACTTGTTTGGTTAAAAAAAAATCACATAGAATTGATGA